ATCATGTTCAGAAATTATTGGTGAGGGTAGCTTTTGAACTCAGGACAGTATCCTAGTGGGACTCCAACCATGACCATTCCATCCTGCACCTTTGATTTGGTTGTTCAAGCAGCCCCTCCAGACATTCTGCCAGATCCTGATGCTCCTTAGGAACTGGTGCAAACTACATGTAAAGCTCAGCATTGTAGGTAATATAAACATGAACTAAAATAAAATGAAAAAAGGTCACTTTTTACCACTTGAACTTGGTTCATACAATTACTTGTTGTGGACATGCAAATGGGAAAAAACCAGAACTACTCCCTGAACAATCTTGGGCACGGCTCAATTGAGCATCATTTATTTATTTAGGAATTTTTTATTTATTAAGGAAGCTTCTATACCGCCCCATTCGCTGATGCCTCAGGGTGGCTCACAACAATAAATAAATAATCACAATATAAAAACAATATAATTAGAGTCGACCTAGCCAAAGAATAAAATAAAAAAATAATATTAACAATTAAAATAATGCTTAAATAAAAAGGTCTTTGCCTGGCACTGAAAAACAAATAACGACGGCACCTGGTGGACCTCTGTGGGGAGCGCATTCCATAGATTGGGCACCACCGCAGAAAAAGCCCTCCTCCGAGTACTTACCCTCCCAATACCCTTCATGGAGGGTTCCTGGAGAAGAGCCTCTCCCACTGATCTCAAGGGGCAGGCAGGCATATATGGATGTAAGCGGTCCTTCAGGTAACAAGGACCCAAGCTGTTAAAGGCTTTATAGGTCATCACCAACACCTTGAATTTGGCCCGAACTTCAATGGAAAGCCAGTGAAGCTGACGGAGAATTGGAGTCATGTGAACATAACGTCCAGTCCCTGTCAGCAGCCTGGCAGCTCTATTTTGAACCAATTGAAGTATCCAGATCATCTTCAAGGACAGCCCCACGTACAGCGCATTACAGAAGTCGTTATTTATTTGATTTATATGCTGCCCCCTTAACAAGAATGGCCAAAATGCATCATGATTTCATTGAGCTTATACTGACTCTTTAATTCTGACTGTCAGGACCTCCATCATGTCCTCCAGAGATAAGCTGGCATGTCTTGCAACTGCATGGACTTGTGTGATGGTGATGCCACAGACAGAGCCTGGGAAGCAAAAGTGTGTCCCCTTCCTGGGGACTTTGGCCTCTGTCCCTGTCAGATCACACATAATTTTCTCCTGCTGTCTCCCATAGCCCCTTCCTTATCTAATGCAGTAGATGCTGTTCTGAATGTCCCATTGATGGTGGCAAAGCTGAATGGGCTTCCCTTCTTTTCAGATGGAGAACAATGCAGGAGGTGTCCTGAAGATAGACACCCAAACAAGAACCAAGATCATTGCATCCCCAAGAGTATAACCTTCCTCTCCTATGAGGAATCTTTGGGGATTCTCCTGACTTCCTTTGCCATAATTTGGCTTTTAAGCTCAGGAGTTACATTGGGAATCTTCATCAAATTCCAAGAAACTCCAATAATCAAAGCCAACAATAGGAACCTCTCCTCCATTCTCCTCATCTCTCTCCTACTTTCCTTTTTGTCTTCATTCCTATTCATTGGCCAGCCACAGAAATTGACTTGCCTGTTCCGACAAACGGCCTTCAGCACCATCTTCTCAGTTGCTGTCTCTTCTGTGTTGGCAAAGACCATCACTGTGGTGCTGGCCTTCCTGGCTGCCAAGCCAGGCAACAAGGTGAGAAGGTGGTTGGGAAGGGGCTTGGCCTATGTTACTGTCATTTCCTTTTCCAGTGGCCAACTGGTCATCTGCTCCGTCTGGCTAGGCATCTCTCCACCCTTCCCAGACTCTGACAAGCATTCTCTGCCTGGGAAGATCATTCTGCAGTGCAATGAAGGGTCTCTCATGATGTTCTACACTGCCCTGGGTTACATGGGCTTCCTGGCTGCCATCTGCCTCATTGTGGCTTTCCTGGCCAGGAAGCTGCCCGGGGCCTTCAATGAGGCCAAGCTGATCACCTTCAGCATGCTGGTCTTCTGCAGCATTTGGTTGTCCTTTGTGCCCTCCTACCTGAGCACCAAGGGGAAATACATGGTGGCCGTGCAGGTCTTCTCCATCTTGGCCTCCAGTGCTGGGCTACTGGGCTGCATCTTTCTGCCCAAGTGCTACATCATTGTTCTGAGGCCTGATCTGAATACAAAGGAACATCTCATGATCAAAAGCAAGGTTGCCATCTGATTCGTGTGTTTAGCCACGGAATGGGACTCGGGGTATCTGCTAACAGGATGGTCTTTTCAGTAGTGGCCTCCAGGTGGTGGAATGTTCCTCCTAGAGAGGCTCAGCTGACTACCTACTTTGTGACCTTCAGCGCCATGAAAAGACTTTTGTATTCTCCTAAGCGTCAAAGTTCTTCTGTTTCTATTGTTCTAAACATGTAGTATTTCTGGATTTTACTGTGGCTTCTAATTGGGGTGTCAAGGTTTTGAAAATTTTACATTTTTCATCCTGCTGTATTTTTGTCCTCTCAACTGCTGTGAACAACGCAGAGAGTTTGGCTTCTGAATTGCTACAATAAAGGAATATCTATAAAATAATCTAGCCAACACTGCCATGTCTCCTTTGTCAACATGCTCCTGAAAACCAATATCATTATCATCCCCATTGTTGTTGTTATTACATTCATTTCTCAGTCTTCATCTTCTTGCATCATAGCCAAAGTAGCTCACAAGACTGTCCGCATCTACATTTTATCCTAAAAACAACAACCTTGTAATGTATGTGACTGGTGAAAAATCACCTTTAGAGGTTCGTGGCTGAGTGAGGACTAGAACCTGTCTTTTCCCAAACAGGCCGAGCAGTTGATCTTTAATTCAGAGCTTGTGTGTGAAGCTTGAGTATCCACAGGTTACATGTCCAGAGTGTGTACATCTCCTTTGTAAGTCCTGATAGATACCTTTTTCTGAGAGTTGTACCTTTTCTCTCTTTCAACATGGAAGCAGCTTCCTGGCTCCCTCTTGCCTCTGTGCAAAGCTGCCAAGCAGAGCTCAGTCTGGGGGATGAACAAGGTCCTCCATGAAAAAGGGCATTCCGCACACATCCCTCATCTCCACCAACCTCACAGCTCTGACAGATGCAGAACTCCCACAATGCAAGACACAGTTACAGTTCTGAGGCAC